AAATTAGGCCTAAAACCGGGTAGTTTGAACCCGAATATTATTCTTTTGCCCGGACCCGAGAAATAGGAACACGTTGCTTAACTAGTCCTATGTAAGCAAAATAACTACCAAAATAATACTAGTATTTAAACAAAACTATATCTTTTTAAATATTTTTCAAGGTTTAAAATAGCTACAAAATACTAATAAAACTATTTGTAATTTTCGTTTTTTTGTAATTTTCGTTCTTTAATAAAGACAAAAATATGAAGTAATATTTTTTTGTATTTTTCAAAATTATAATGACTGCAAACATTAATAGAACTATATTTTTTTGTAATTTTCGAATTTATATAAAGTACCAAAATAAAGTACAATTTTTTTTGTATTTTTCAAGTTTATGAGAAATACATAAACTAAAATTATATATATATTTTTGTGATTTTTCTTTTTGCAACGAAATAAAGTAAAATAGTTAAAATAGCTATACTAGACCCAATTTCACATATTCACGCTAAAAATGTGAAAATTCTCGGGGAGGGTCAAAAATCACGTGCTTACAACAAGTACAACCGTTACAATAGGATTAGGGTGATATCAGCACACTTTAACTATACAACCATTCCAGTTGTATTGAAACCATTGCCATAGAGTATTTTACCGCAACGGTCTGTACGCTGTTCCAGTAGACCGACTTATTGAAACAGTTCAGAAATTTTTTATTTTTATGGGAACGGTTTTCATTCCGTCTTCACTTTCCCCCCAAAATATTTGGTAAACCCTCCAAATGAACCCCATTTTTTTTATTTTTTATTTTTGATTAATTTTAATAATATAAAACTTAAAACTAATCTTTATTTCCCCTTTTCCTAGCAAACTCACCTGCATGCCGATTTTCATTAGAACCAGACCCATCTCCACCTTTTTTTTCCTCTCAAAACCTATTCCTCAAAATCCTCTCTTTAACTCCTAAAATCCAAATTCAGAAATAGATTCATCTCAAAATTCTCACTTTCCCTGTAGATTCATCTCCTTATAGATTCATCTCAAGGATAGACCAAAATCCCCAAATTCCAAAATCAATTTTATGGTCGAGTCGAAGAAGCTGTCCAAACGAAGCTAGGTTTTCGTGAAACAAGCGCGATTCTTGATTGTAGAGGTTCTTAAAAAAGGGAGACTGTTGTTGCATGTCTTCTGATTATTCTGAGAGGTATGTTAATCTCATTCTTTTTCTTCACCTAGATGTTGTTAGAATTACGCTTTCAATATTGGTTTATTTCATGCGCTTTTTGATTTCAATATTGTTTCTTAATATTTGATTAGTTTGGTTTGATGTAATTTTATTTCTTTCTCCTTTTCTCTGTTACATTGGTATTATTTTCTATATATATATGTAATTGGAGTTGGAAGTAGCTTTTATTTAGTACCAGGTAATGTTATTGGAAATGGGAGAAACGATGTTTTCTTAAAAATGATGTAATTTAACGATGTAAAAATGATTTTTGTGTAAAATCAACGTTTTGCTCGTTGAAATTCTTTAGCACCCCATGTTTTCCTTGAAGCTATTTTTCATGTTATTTCTTAATATGTTCTGAACTTGTTATCTTATATCTACTTCCTTCATATTACAAGAATATACCATTTATTAGAAGTTAAAAATAATTTTGGAAATATCTGTATGTCGACGGGAAGAAAATGTTTTTCCCTTTGTGGATGGCAATTTGGGTGAACTGTTTAAAGAAATATTTTTTTAGTGAAGGAGCCTTTAAGTGAAATGAAGTATAGAAACAGAGTAAGAAAAGATGAGTCTATTGTTGTGGTGTTTGAAGATTTGGGTGCTGAGTATTTGGAAGAATTATTGAGTTCCTCGGAATGTGTTACAAATTGGTGATTGTCTTTCTCTGTTTTAATCCAGAATTTCTCAAAGTTTCCTCAGCAACAAAATGCTACTCTCCTCTGTATTTATCATCTTGATTTAGGCCTTCATTTGTTGATGACTTATTTAATTTATGCTTCTTTTCTACAGCTAAAAGAGCTGATGTTTCTTGTTCTATTTTTCTTCTCCTTTTGTTTCTCATCAATTCTAATGCACTGACATGCTAAAGGTGATGTCAGTTTCTCCAGAAAAGTTGCATTTGCGAGCTGAACCTCTTATAACAATTAACATTGTTTTCATATTAAATTTGAGTTCCATCACAAAGAGAGGAGGAGGATGAGGATTAAAATTAAGAAATATAATTTAAAACAGACAATATATAAGATTAGAAAAGATTGATTTATTAAGGTAGTGGAATTGGAATCTAATTTACAAGTTTAGAAAGGGCTATAATGTAAAGTTTATAGAAGGAAATTAAATGGAAGATTAGGAAAGATATGATCAGGGACCTTAATAGTAAGATATAGGAAAGAAATAGTTATAGTGTAAGTGATATAGGGACAACTTATAGTTGGACATAATATCATTTCATGGATTTTATTAAATAGGAGAAATTACAGAAAAAAGACTTCAACTGTAACCCACGAATAAGGAGTCATAGTAGTGTCTTTCACTTTGGATAGCTAATGAAAAAAATCTATCAACTACACCTAATATTAATGCAAGAATTTAACATTCTTGAACTGATAGTGAAACAAAATAGATGAATATATATATAAAATTTAGATATCTCTAGTTAGTTTAGAATTAAAAGTAATTAGTAAAACATAATAGATACCTTAGTGCTGGTTTAAAGGATATTCTCTACCATTTTTTGGAGAGATAGAGGAAATATCCATGAATAAACAATTCATGAATAAAAAACAGAATAGGACATAGACTATTACAAATAAGTGATGAGAGTACCAAAAAGCATTGAATCCAGTGAGTTTCTAATAGAGCAACATAAGAACCTAGAACAAAAAACATTTGAAACAGAGCAAAAGACTAATCTAGTATGTTGCTTCTATTGTCTTTAAGAACTTAGAATTTTAGCAACTCAGCATAGAAAGTAAAGAATAAAATTAGTTAAGATGCAACCATCACGAGTTATTATGTATGACTCATGGTGAGAAAAATTCTGTTTCTCGAATGTGATGATTTCTCCACAGATTCATTTTCAATGACCAAGGTAAACAAGTATCGGAAGATAATAAAGGTTTTTGGTTATACATATTACGTTAAACCAAATTACTGAAACTCAGAGAAGAGAATCTACATGATACTTCAAACATAAAAAGAGAATCTAATTATCCAACTAACAGTCTTAACTTGTTCCCTATATCTGCCTCAGATTGAGACTTAAGATTAGTACAATATTTAAGGTACAATTAGATTACAAATCTCTTCTCTAATGATTTTATTATTCTTTCTCAATGCAAAAACTGCTTTACTATTTGTAACTCTTTGACTTCACCCCCTTTAAGTTTTGGTCAATGTCAAATTAGTATGTACCTTGATTTTTTGAGTTAATTTTGTTGATTACTTTTGTCGTATAGGAATTTCATGGATAAAGTAGATAAAAGTTGGATGCATCTCCTAAGATGGACGGATGAGTATATACATGGAGTAAATGATTTCCTTGATAAGGCATTTGAACGAGCTTCACAAGGAAATGAAATATTATGTCCTTGTCATAAGTGCATTAATCGCATTTGGCATTATACAAATTAGTATATATCTTTGTTTATTTCTTGCTTTCTTCTTCTCCTCCTTCTGCTTCTTTTTTAAAGTTTCACTTAAATTATTCGAAGTTGACTAATTTATCTCAAATTAGCTATAATCTTTTATAAAGAGAATAATTGGCTTATAATATCAATGCATGTTGCTTCCTCTTATCTTGGTTTTCTGTACAAAGACATCTATTGATTGACAAAAGCAACACTACTATTTTATAACAGCACCATATCTAGAGAAGTTCCCACTCAGATTCAGAATAAAGATTTGTGATTTCTTGTGATTAACATCCCGGATTAACAATTTTGTGAGGAATTCTGGCTACTTTATCTCTATCATAATAGCGAGTAAATGTTAAAACTTGTGCTTTTGTTGGTCTTTTTAGAGTACACAGGATTCATTTATATCAAATCTTAGTTGTCCAGGTGTGGCTGGCTGGTTTTTGTATCTTTGGAACATAAATCAATTAATCAGTCAACTACGTTTCAGTTTCAAACTAGTTGGGCTCAACTTCATGCTTTACTGGTGACCATTTGTTTCAATTGCTTACCATTTGCTTTTTTTCTTTTCTTTCTAAATCCTCATAGTAGACTCTCTAGATTGAAGGCTTCTGTCAACTAGCTATAGTCGAGCGTCAAAGGACATATAAGAGTAAGGGTGGTGGTTTCTGACTATACACTACCTCATGAGGGGTCATTTTAATAGAGGAAGTATAGAAGGTGTTATACCCGCATTAGGCTAGTGGTAACATGTGAGGCCAATATATAGGTTTCTCAAATGGCATGCACGTCAAGTAACACTCAAAGCACATATTTACAAGTTATCTCTGTCCATCAATCTAGGATGGCATGCAGTAGATGTTAGGAAGATAGGCGTACATGCATCTTTTGCTTGTAATATGTAATGTAATTGTTTAAATCTTCTCTCATTTTCCCTTTGTTACATTGGTCCCAAGAAAGATTATAAGGGCATTCTTCAAAAGGATGCAAAATTTGCCTTTTCTTGTTGCTTATGTTGTGTTTAACTAGTTTCAATGTTTGATATGGAAATGGAAAATGGAAATAACTAACTGAACAGTTTGTTAAGATGAAGAAAGTCATCTGGTGAAATACTGTTACTGGGTCTGGAAGGAAGTGAATAAGAGAAGTATTATATAAGCTTTCGGCAATGTGGTAAAGATAATATTAATAGGTATCAGTGGCTAGTTTATTAAGTTGTGAATTCCCAGTTTGTAATTCTATTAAAGTTTCTTTTGCATTCTTACACAGATTTAAAGACAACCAATTACTTGCTATCATCTCTGACTTGTTTTTGAAAACTTTGTGCTTGAAGATTTTTACTGGATATAAGATTGTTTCATCCTAGCAAAAAGAATCGAAGACTTGGAGATCGACATTCTAGTACATTTGAAAACTTTGTTCTTTATGCATTGTTTATGGACCATACCCATTCTTATAAAGATAAACCAACTCTTGAAGGATAATGACTTTATTTATCCTCTTTTGTAGGTGGAGCAATTGAAGAAAGGGAAGATGGAGATTGTGAAGATCTAGACCTTACTTAAGAACTTTGAATTGTTGTCCATGTTCTAGGAATCTTTTGTTATCAACATTTGAACTCTAACTCTTGAAGTGTTGAAATGTAAAACTTATGTGATTGGGTTAAAATATTTTGGTTTTATGGAGAAAATATAGATTATGAAGTATTTTATCTTTTTATTTATATAAATTTCAGGTTATTACAAATTTTATATATCTAAATATTCATTTACAGCCAGGGCGTAATAGTCTAATAGAACCGTTCCAATAGCTCTTGCAAACCGTTCCAATAGGTCTGACAAATCGCTCCAAAATAGTCTAAAAGAACCATTCCAATAGGTCATCCAAACTATTCCATTAGGTCTTACAAATCATTCCAAAATGTGCAACTAACTTATACAATATGTAGTTAAAACCATTGTAAAGGAAATAAAACTGTTACAGTAGCGTAATGAAACTGTTAGAATATCTGTAAATAAACGGTGCAATAGCTTACATAACCGTTGAAACAAATTATATGGTAACGGCTGCCAACCGTTGTTGTAAACTCTATGGCAACGGGTTTTACCCATTACAACTGGAAAGAAATACTCGTTGCTTCAGATAGAGGAACAACCGTTGCGATAGATCGCCCTTAAGCAACGGTTTGGGTAACCATTGCAAGAACCGTTACTCTAGATATACTGGCACGACAGCATATGTAACGGTTGCTAAACCGTTCCAATAACTCTATGGCAACGGTTTACCTCTCTGTTGCTACGGTTTTTCGGCTATTGCAATAGGCTCATTTTCCAGTAATTGGAGCAATAACTCATGAGACAACTGGTCGGGTCGTCACAGGCTCAAAAGGTGTATCAAAGGATAAAAGTGTTTAGATGACAGAATAAAATGCCTTCGTCATTCCAATCTGTGAAACATGCCAACTACAAATAACTCAATTGAAGACAAACCAAAGAAATCACACATAATATCTCTTGACTGCATCAGAATTGACAGTCATGTCTACACATTTGCCTTCTATACCTGCTAAATACAAAGCACCGTTGGGCAACACTCTTGTCACAATGAACGGCCCCTGCCAGTTTGGAGCAAACTTGCCTTTAGTTTTAGCTTGATATGGAAGAATTCATTCTAACATCGACTGATCTACCTCAAACTGTTTGAGAGACATTTTCTTATTGTATGCTCTTATCAACCTCTTGATTTCCCAGACGAACTGCCTCAGTTTCACTCAATTCAAGTTTCAGGTTATCTCAGAATGCGTGAATCTTTATTTGTTTCCTCAAACGAAGCTTTTATCATATTCAAAACTCTGTTTCATTATTCCATGATTAACTTGGCTTTCAAGATCTGGCTAAAAACTCCGCATGCATGTCATGTCACTAGAAATGGCCTGAAGAGAACTATATACAATAAAGGAACTAAACGAAGACTACAAATAACAGAAAAACAAAATCTCATTTGACCAAAGGATGGAAGGGTTTGAACAGTAGAATAAAATCTATATTAAAGCCCTAAAACAATCCCAGATGACAGACTTAGAGACGCAAAACTAACTAACAAGAGTCTCAGAAATAGGCAAAAGAGGATGGAAGGGTTTGAATCAACATAACAAGCAAGATAAAATCTGGGCTACAACCCTGAAATAAGCAGACATCAGAAAAGATGTCAAAATGAACTGCCAAGACTCGTTCCCGATGAGGAAATGAGGTGCTTTCTAATTACCAAACTCGAGATCTTAGCCACTGAGTTGCACATGAAAATTACTGGGACCTTCACCAACTTCAATCATATTGTCTTCACTACGTGGCTCATTGACTCCTTTGAATAAACCTTCCTCAGCACTAACTGTTGAATTATCGACAGACCATCTAAGGGATCTTGTCGCAAATGACTCACCAAAGAACTTGAAAGAGCCTGCACATTCGTTGTCAATGCAAACCATCCCAACAATTTGTGCATAGTCATGTACCTGTAGAGGATTATGTGTGACACTTGGGGTATTACTGCCTTGGACCAAAATTATCCCTTCTTGAATCATTCTTTCTATCTCCCTTTTCAAAGCACAACAATCTTCAATGCTATGCCCTTGGAATTAGAGTGGTATATGCACCATACAGTAGGATCAAAACCTTTTGCATATGGGTATGAAGTGTAGCCGAAGAGCGGCTCAATCAAGCCAGAATATTTTAACCTTTCAAACAAGTTTGTGTAGGATTCCCAGATTGGTGTGAAATTATCTTTCCGCTTTTGTTTCCCTCCATGCCTATGTTGTTTAGGTTTATAGGGTGCCTGAAAATGCTGTGAAGGCACAAGAGAATTTTGGGATGCTAGTGCTTGCCCTAGGGAGTGACCTTGTGGTTGGACAGATGGCCAGATATTGTTCGGAGGATAATACTAGGGTGGATTATGTGGAGTTTGGGGATATTCATGGGGTCGGTATTGAGGCTGAAAGCATTTAGCAGGAATGCCCACTGGATCCTGTTGTTGGCAGAGCTCAGTATCATCTTTTCTATCAATTGGAGGACAAACCCGAGCAACTTGTTCGTTCCATTTGAACCATCTTCTCGAGTTTCTTTTCCATCTGAGATAGGGAAGAGAAGTCTGGGATAATGTCTGCATTGTACTGATAGTGTGGAACAAAATCTTGAATCATGTCGCCCCAAGCATACCATTTACTGACATCTTGACGAGTATACTACTCCAAAGCTTCCCCACTCAAACTCTCACTGAAATAGCCATCAACAACTCATCTTTCCTGCAAACACTTCCCATTTCACTGCAATAATCCCTTAGATGGGCTACTCGATCTCCGCGTCAATCATATAAATCAAACTTTGGCATCTTAAACCCAGCAGGCAGTTGGATGTTAGGAAAAAAGCACAAGTCTTTATAAGTCGTGCACACCTGGCTCCCTATCCCTTGCATATTCTTCAATGATTGCTCCAAACTCTTTACTTTCCTAAATATCTCCTGTTGCTCCGCGTTCTTGGGTGGTTTCTCAATTTCGACAGGAGGTTCAAAGTGAGGAGTGTAGGAGTAATGATTCGGGACTTTGAAAGTAGGCTCTAGAGCATAGTATTGGGTATCCTGAGCTTGGAACGTCGGTTCACTAGAAGATCGAAGGACAGTAATTTTGGCTGGTGGAGCATGGAAATTTTGGGTTGAAGTGCCAGGATAGTGGTGGTAAGGGGTAAAACTTGGTGCATGTTGAGGGGAAATATCGACAATAGTGGGATCTTGGGCTTGTGACAGTGGTGGATAAAACCAGGGTTTTCTATATAGTTGGAAGGGGATGACGGTGGAGGATTCCCCCTGATCCATGCTTGATACATTTTTGCCATTTGGTGTTTCACCTTGTGTACCTCTTCTTTCAAACCAGACTCAAATTGCCCCATCTCTCTCGGTGGGTCAATAACACTTGTGTATAATTCTTTGCTAGCCATGATTGCCTTGTATTTTGACCTGGTGTTATATATATGACTTGCCAGAATGCCAAACGAACTAACCACCTTCCTGTTCTTAATTGCAACAACAAACTTGTTAGTTTTTAAGAGTTTAACAGATAGGCAATCACATGTTTGGGATGCAATGCATCTAAACAATTAAATGTTTCTATCTTGTGTTTGAACGGTTGCATGCTTCATCTCGGCCTTTACTAACTCTTTTCAGTTTACACTTTCTTTTCTTTCACTCCCACCTTTCTTTAGTGACTATTGATTTTCTCACTTGGTTCTTGGCGCTCCTTTTTTTTTGGCACTCTCTTTTGTTCTCTTGTTTTGCCACTCATTATTTCCTCTTAATTTTCTTTCCTCTCTCTTCATTTTATGGTTATGATCGAATCCTATAGGTATTGCCTACGTATCATGATGCCACATAAATCAGATCATTACGTAGTTTAGGGGATAAATGCGAAATAAAAGAAAAGAATTTTTTTGGGTTTTTCAATATTTCATAAAACTTCTTTTTTTAATTACTAGGACTCCGACATACAGACTTAGGAAAACAGCAGCAAACCTAAAAGAAAACAAACAAATTCGAAAAAAATAAAATATGGACTCAAAACCAGCAGAAAATCAGGAATACTTGATAGCATCAACACTACTCTAGGGGCCCGTTGGACATCACTCGGTCTCGACGCGGGCCTACGTGCGATATCTTCTTGGAGACGGTCTAGGCCGTCCATCACCTGACAGACAAAAGTCATCACTACAGCGAAAAATATGGACCTAGTCATATCCTCGCATTCATTGCACTTCATTATGATATAATCAGCAATCCTTTAAATCCTTCCTCTGATGACTCCCTTCTTTTGGAGTAAGTGTCCAATCTGCTGAGAGCTGGCCTCCAAAACCTATGTGGCCGCATGGTTTTTCTCTTGCAACTACTGCATGTCCTCTTCCAGCTGTGACATCAATGCATAGCAATGCTCTCTTTCTGCTTTGAAGTTCTTTACTTGCTGAGCCATTTTTATTTTCAAGGGTATTCAGCTTTTTCTTCAGGCCCGTGACTCCTTTGTCGTACTTTTCCTTCAGCTGCTGAACAAACCTCTCCTGTTCTACTGCTTTCCTGGCTAACTTTGCCTGGGCCTTTGCTAATTCATCCTTGGCCTTTTCCAAGTCAGCCCCATAATCACACATTTTTCGTCGGAGGCTGTTGATGAGTTATTCATATTTTTTGCTTCTAGGTGGGTTTTCAGCTGCTATTTTCATCTTCTAGACATGGGCTCAGAGGGCTTCATTTTCTTGGGTCAAACTTTTCTTTTCACCTTCATCCGCAGCGGCTTGCAAACCACTGTTAAATTTAAGGTTTCTAATTTTCTATTATGACATGACCGGTTATTTTGAGCTTTTGCGCTTTGCTCACCAATTCTCGGGCATGACTAGCCCCACGTGATATATTATGACTTATGTAAATAGTTGGTTTTGGTTTTCAGGGCAATCAGAATGAATTTGGAAGAGTAGTTCTCAGTTTGAAGCTTAAAAATTTGAAAGGTTTGACCAACTTTTGACTTGTTATTATATGATCTCGGATTTGATTTTTTCCGATTTGGTAAGCTCCATTAGGTGAATTGGGACTTAGGAACATGATCGGAATGCATTTTGGAGGTCCGTGGAAGGTTTAGCCTTGAATTGGCAAAAATGAGATTTTGGCATTTTCCGGTTGA